CGCCTCAGACCCTCCGGCACCCTTCCCCCCTGCAGCCCTTGCCCCCGTACGAAAGGAAGTGCAAAACACTGTTTTGAGCAGATTGCAGATCAACAACCAAACCACTGGGCGAGGTGAGCACCGCCCAGGGCGGCTGGGGAGGGGGCACGGCACCGCGGGGCCCAGAGCCGCCGTCCCTGCCCGCACTCGCGGCCAGGCGCTGGGGATGCCGACATGGGTCCCCAAGCAGCCGAGGACTTCGTGCTGTCCGCAGACTACGATTACCCAGTGGGGACCAAATCCACGGGGACGGAGGAGCGTTTCTCCAGGTGGGAGTCGTCCTACATGACCGTCTTCATCCCCATCCTCTACTCCTTCATTTTCCTCCTTGGCTTCGTGGGGAACCTCTTTGTGATCGTGCTGCTGGCCAAGAAGAGAGGCAGCAAGAGGATGGTGGATACGTTTGTGCTGAACCTGGCTGTGGCCGACGTGATCTTCGTCTGCACCCTGCCCTTCTGGGTCGTGGCAGGTGCCCATGGGAACCGCTGGCAGCTCGGGGAAGGGCTCTGCAAGGTGAGCAGCTACGCCATCACTGTGAACCGCTGCTCCAGCATCCTCTTCCTCACCGCCCTGAGCGTGGAGCGCTACCTGGTCATCAGGAAGGTGCTGGATACCAAGATGACGGGGTCCAAGAGGCACGTCTTTGTCACTTGTGGGCTGATCTGGGTTGTGTCCCTCCTCCTGGGTGCGCCGTCCCTGGAGTACCGGCGGCTAGATGGAGATGACTGTTGGGATGAGGATGGGGAGGATTTCAGCCTGGCAATGGTCTTCCTCACCTTCCTCCTGCCACTGGCGATCATCTTGTTCTGCTACTGCTCCATCTACTACCAGCTCCACAGGCACATCAGGCTGGGGAAGGGGATGAGGAACTCCCACCGGATCATCTTCACCATCGTCGGAGCCTTCATCTGCTCCTGGCTGCCCTTGAATGTCTGCAAGGTGTTGCTCTTCTTCATCGCGAAGGGGATGCTGGTCCTCTCCGAGGTGGAGGAGGAGGCCTTGAGGTGGGTCGTCACCAGCAGCACATGCCTGGCCTTCATGAACAGCTGCGTCAACCCCATCATTTACACCCTGATGGATCGCCATTTCCGGCGCCAGCTGCTGCCCCCGGCTCTCCGGGTGCTCTGCCTTTCCCCCGCGGAGAAGGGGCACAACGTGGCCACGACGTCCTCTGTGACCGAGTCCAGCCTCATGTTCGGCGTCAGGACCAAGCCGTCCGCACCGCCGGGGCGCTGGCCAGCAGTGCAAGAGGAGAAGGATTGGGGGCCAAACGAGTAGGTCATTTGGGGAGGGCTGAGCTTGAGCAAGTGCCTGGGCTTGTCTACCTTCCTCATCTCTTCAAAGCATTGCAGAGAGAGAGCTGCGGGGCTGAGGGAGCGCAGGATGAGCCCTTTCTGGGGGGGGGGGTTTCCTGGCTCCACCACAGCCCTGCGCCCCC